AAAAAATTTTTTTTGAAAGTTTTCAAACTTTGACCCGGCCGGGTTATGAAAACCAATTTATTAATTTTATATGGCCTTATACTGCTTCTTTTTTTTTTTTAAGTTAGAGACTAAAATAAAATATAGTCTTCATTAAGCATTTTATTTAATAATCAAATTAATTAAAAATAGAAATTTACTAAATTCCTAAATGTACTAAAAGTTGAAATGAAATTTTAAATCCATCCAAGTGGTTTAAGTTAATTTTTTTTTTTATCCAAATTTGGTTCTGAATTTATATACTGTATTAAATTTTATAAAGCTTTAGAATTTTCACCGGGCATTAAGGTAATTATGTCAACACTGTAGTCGTTTTCGTTAAGACAAACGGAGTGGTACAAAAATTACTTGACTTTAATCATGAATATCGAAATTATAATATGGTCAAACACCATTACTTTTGTTTTTTTTTTACAAAGCAAATCAAATCACATTAAGTAAAATTGTATATAATGTTAAATTATAGTTGTATATGATGTTAAATTATACGTTTTTTTAATTAAATTTCTTAAAATAATATACGTATATAAATTTTACATAACAGATAACATAAAATTTCAAACTACAACTTGAAATCTATTACGGCCTGAGTATATCGCTTCTGAACTATCACTATTGTGAAAAAATTTAGTACCCGGAATTTTGATCTATCTGCTAATCTATTCACGTTTCACGAGAGCTTTAAAATATATTTGTGTAAAAGATCTACGTTAGAGTTCTTTAAAAGATCGCCTATAAATTAAAATTTTATCATCATGTAATAACTAAAAAATTTTCGATAAATATATATTTTTATTGTTATAATTCTGTTATAAACTTTATTCTTACGTCATAATGGATGAAAAGATAAAATTTGAATCGTATTTGAAATCTGTTGAAGGTGGCAATTCTCAAGGACAATTTAATCTTGGATAGTGTTATCATTATGGTAAAGGCACGGCTAAGGATGAAAAAAAGGCATTTGAGTGGTATTTGAAATCTGCTGAAGGTGGCAATTCTCAAGGACAATGTAATCTTGGATTCTGCTACAGGTATGGCATAGGCACAGCCAAGGATGAAAAAAAGGTATTTGAGTGGCATTTGAAATCTGCTGAAGGTGGAAATTCTCAAGGACAATATAAAGTTGGATTATGTTATCGAAATGGATATGGAACATTTCCTAATCAAGAAAAAGCTGTTGAATGGCTGCAAAAAGCCAAAAACAATGATAATTTTCAAAAAACGGTTGATTATGAAAATCTTAGTGATTCTATAAAAAGCTTATTAATTGAAAATGATTTATTAAAACCATGGATTCCATTTAATAAATTAGAATTCAGAAATAAAATTGGAAAAGGTGGGTTTTCAACTGTGTATACTGCTAATTGGAAACGCACTATGACAGGTGGTGGCACTTCAAATCAAACTGTTGCACTTAAATTATTTCATGGATCAAAGAATAGTTGCAAAGAGCTTATAAAAGAGGTAAATATTGATAATTTAAAATTTCAGACAATTTTTAGAGATATTTATATTCAGTTATTAATATTTGTAAATTTAAAAGTTAATTGCATATTCAAATATTGAATTCAAAAACCCAACATTTTTACAATGTCATGGAATATCAAAAGATGAGGGTACCGATGATTATATTTTAGTTATGCAATATGCAGAAATGGGATCTTTACGTCAAAATCTTCATGAAATTGCACAAATGAAATGGGAGAAAAAATTAGAATTAATATCGTATATTGCATTAGACCTTCAAATAATTCATTCTAATAATATTATTCATTGTGATTTACATAGTGGCAATATATTTCAAAGTAATTTACATAACGCTTATATAGGTGATTTAGGATTTGCAATATCGGTTAATAAAACATTAGATACAGAAAGTAGAGGAATTTATGGAGCTTTACCGTATATAGCTCCTGAAGTTTTACAAGGAAATTCATATACAAAAGCAACAGATATTTATTCTTTTGGAATGATTATGTGGGAAATTTCATCTGGGAATGTTGTATTTTCTGAATATAAAGTTGATAATTTAAGATTAGCATTAGAAATTTGTGAAGGTTTGAGACCAACTATTGTTAAAGAAACAACATCGTGCTATGTAAATCTTATGAAAAAGTGTTGGGATAAAGATCCTGAAAAACGACCATCAGCTTTAGAAGTTTATGAAATTATTGTGAGTTGGAAAAATGATGCAACCATTTTATCCGAATTTTTGAAATCTGATAAAGAAATGGTGTTCGAAAGTAATATTCCTTTTAATAATATGGATGATAGTACGATTTATACTAGCAAATTCATTAATTATATTAACCAGCAATCAGAAATTATTTCTGATAATAATATCTGTATTAATCATTTATATTCTAATCAATAATTTGATTGATGCCTCTTCAAAGATATAGAGGACAGTTAAGCAATTTAAAATTTGTACTTAACTTTTGTTAACGTTAATACATTCAAAATGCTTTGACCATAGAAATTTGCCATTTATAATGTTGATTTATACATTTTAAGGGCACCTCTTAACAAAGAATCTCTCTTATCAAACCAACCAATCATATTCTTTATCGAATTCATTGAGAGAGATGCTTGAGAACGTTCTAAGCCTATTTGGTCTGTATTATCAACGTTTTCTTGTAAATTTTCTATAACGACAGAAACGATAGAAGATTATTACACGAACCAAGAATCACCCTAAAAATCAGTTACGTTTATGATCTGGCTAAGCCGATAAATAAGGCTCACTATTATTAGAAAATATACATAACTAATAATAGGTTCAAAGGTTTTTAAGTCATTTTATAGATATTCCCACGAGACAAAATTATTTTAGCATATTTTAACTTTAGTTATACTACCGTAGAATCTTACTTCAAAAAAAAATTTTTTAGCCGATATGTTTACTCATCCTCTGTAAATCATGTTAAACATAGGATCAAATTGGCAATTGAATATATATAAATTTGATTCTTCAAAAAAAAAACAAGTTTAAAAAGATTCGAATTCAAGATTTATTATCGTTATATTCAAATTCGAAGATTTATTATCACAATAACAAACTTTTATTACGACAAGCTTAGCTTTAATTATATTTTAGACAAAATTTTAATTATGATATATCGATATTGCAATTTTAGCTAAAAACATTTTGTTTATTGAAATTAGTTAAGTTGGCATCGCTAGTCTTATCATACTATATAAACTTTATGATATCGAGTGAAGAGGATAATAAATTTAAAAAAAATATTCTTCATTATATCAAGATCTTCCTATATCGAGAGTTCACGATAAAGTGCATCGTAATTTTGATTGGTTAACATTAACTACTATATGTGTATTTTTTATGTATTTTTATTGGTTAAAAAAATTATTCAGTAAATTATTCTTCTAGCGGAATTTTTTATTGGAAAAATATGGATGTTCAGTGGGGTTCTAGCTTAAAGTCAAAAACACTGGCTAACGTCCCGTCAAAGGCTTGGCTCCATTTCGTCGCTGGAGGGTAGAGTATTCCTATGATGCCTTTATCGACCTTCAGCCTATCAATATACCCTAGTTCTAAATTAAAAGTGCATTGGTCCCATCTAGTATTGGAGGGATGGTCGGAGCAACAATTACTTCGCCCTTAGATGTTATGAAAACTCGGTTACAGGTACTTAAGTAACAAAAGGTTTTGAATGCATGCTTTCCAAATAAATTGCTAACAACTAGGTAAATTCTGTTACCCTTTGATTCAGTCGTCTTTATATAATCCTAAATCACCGTCTTCACAACCTTTTGTTCGATCTACAATCCCATTTCTCGGACATTTCATTGACACAGGAAAATTATTGACGTATGTTCTTTTTTTCTAATAATATTTGTTAATTACTAAATGTATTTTAATGATCAGTAAGTAACTAATTAGTGTTATTCAATTTTTTGATTTAGGTACGTGTACCGTAATGAAGGCTGGAGGGCGTTGTTTAAAGGATTAGGACCAAATTTAGTTGGCGTCGTACCAGCAAGGTAACAATTTTAATAATGTACATCGATTTAAACTCTTATCACATGATAATTTTAATTATCACAAAAATTATAGAGCGATAAATTTTTTTACTTATGGTAACGGAAAACGAATTTTAACAAATTTGAATGGAGAAGAAACTCCATTAGTACAATGTACAGCAGCAATTTTTGCAGGTTAATTTAATATAATAATTTGATTTTATGTTTTCTTCAATTATTTTTATTAACCATTTTTTTTTTTTTGATAATTAATGTCAATAGGAATCACAACTTCTACTTTAACAAATCCTATATGGCTTGTGAAAACTAGAATGCAACTTCAACAAAGCTCCTCTATAACTTTACATAAACCTGTAAAATATAAAAATTCTTTTGATTGTGTGATGAAAGTTATGAGAGAGGAGGGTATATCAGGATTATATAAAGGGCTAAGTGCTTCATATTTAGGTAACATCTGATAAGAAAAATGCATATTTGAAATATTTTTTAAAGTTATCTAATGTAATTTTTGAAAAAAAAAAAAAATTATAGGTGTGACCGAAAGTACGATACATTGGGTTACCTACGAATATCTTAAATCGAAACTTTCAGAACGAAGAAAGAAACAGAAAACCATATCTGGCGAATCCGTACAACCTTTTTATTTGCGCATGTTTGATAATCTGCTTGCTGCAGGCTTATCTAAATTCGTGGCTGCATGCATTAGCTACCCTCATGAAGTATAAAGTTTATTTTTTCAATAAAAATATATACTTATGTAAATAGAAATGTTAATTTAATTTTACCAATTATTTAAGGTCATACGGACTCGCATGCGGCAACTTCCTACAGACGGTGCACCTAAATACAATGGAATTATTAAATGTTTTAAAACTATACTTCGAGAAGAAGGTGTCTCGGCTTTTTATGGTGGTATGACTGCACATATGATGCGTGTTGTGCCTAATGCAGCAATAATGTTCTTTTGTTATGAGTCAATTTTGCATTACGGTGAAAGTTTATAATAATTCATTAGGGTTGGAAAGTCTTAATATAAACACTCACGATATTAATTTTGTTAAATAATCATTTTAATGTAATTATTACACAATGAGTCATTTTAAACTTTTTCTTCGCAAATTTATTAATGCTAATTATTGGTTAAATTATGGGTGCATCAAATTGACGCTTCCTTTAGTGTCTTAATTCTTCGATTATATTCCTCGCCCCTTGTTCTATCAAAATTCTTGAAACTTCTTTACCTAACTCATTAGCCGCGTCGATTCCATCATTATCAACGTGTTTCATTGCTTCAGCATGAATAATTGTTGAGCCGTCTAGTTTAGCAACTGAACCTTCCAATTTTAGCATGCGTTGACCATCTTGTCCATTTATAAAATTTGTATTAACACCAATTGGAACGCTACATCCACCTTCTAACGTCTTCAATAGTGACCGCTCGGCTGTACACCGCAATCTCGTATCCTTATCTTCCAGCACTGAAAGCATCTCAATGATATGTATATCATCATCTCGACATTCAACAGCTAATGCACCTTGTCCTACAGCATGTAATATAATATTTGACGGAAGAATTTGTGATATTCGGTGATTCTGGCCTAATCGAACGAGACCTGCGACTGCTAATATTAGCGCAGAGTACTGCCCGTCTGGCTTATCTAATTTTGCAAGCCGCGTATTTCTAAATAAAATATAATATTATTATTACATGTATTCTCTTTATTTTCAAGAAGCATCATAAAATGAAAAAAAAGTACATACAGATTACCTCTCTTGAAATATATAATTAGAGAACATTAGTTTACGATTCTTTTAAATAAAAATAATTAAGAGAGCTTCCCATACATACAACGTCCTGGAAAATCAGATCAGGAAAAGCCTTTTTCAATTGAGAAGACCTTCTAACACTACTAGTTCCAATAATACTACCTTTTGGTAATTCCTCTAAAGATTTTGCATCTAGACCTTCTTTAATAACTACAGCATCGTAAGGATTTTCTCTTTTTAAAATTGCTCCGACTGTCATTCCTTTAGGTAAAGTAGTAGGTAAATCTTTTAAACTATGAACTACTAAATCAACAGTTTTATTTTCTAAAGCTACTTCAAGTTCTTTTGTAAATAATGACTTTTCTCCAATTTGATATAAAGGTTTATTAAGAATTTGGTCTCCAATAGTTGTTATACCCAAAATTGGAAATTCGGAATTAGGATAAGCTTGTTGTAATGCTTTTTGAACTTCATTAGTTTGTACTAAAGCAAGTTGTGACTTGCGAGTTCCAATTGTATAAGTTTTTTGAATTGACATTGATATTAGAACGAACATTTGATAATCGCTACATTTTACGCATTTATGTACAGTACTGTGGCTCAGGTTGAATGTATGATTGGCTAATTTATGTGAAGCAATATCTGATACAAATAAAATTTTAACTAAGGCAGTTATTCAAATATGAATCGACTTAGCATCGGATTTTCACCACGCCTAGTTTTAGTCTTTTCTAAATCTGCGTATCGTTTTAAAAAATGCTGTTGTGTTGAAATTCTAATAACGGGAAGGTTATAAAAATCTGAAATTATTAATTGATGTGAGAAATAATTTTTAATATTTCGAATTCTTTAGTGGGTATGAACTCCGGCGAGGTCAGTGAAAATTGGAAGTTTGTTGAATAATTGTCGAAAAAAGCGGTTTTGTAGAACTGGTGTTTTATAAAGTGTTTGACTACGAAGTGCAAGATAGCGTATTATTAATAATAAATCACTAACAGGTTCATAAATTTCTTCAAAATCTCCTTTTCGTCTATTATTACACTGTAATGTAGTCATAACGAACTAAATAATGGCAAAATTATCCTTGATAACGATAATAAATCAAGTATAATTAAATTTAAATAAATGAATATAAAAATGCAAAAATATAACAAAAAATTCATCCCAATCAAAAATACTCTAATTGATAATTTCTACACAATCATGTAAATACCCACTATTTCGGACATTTAACTTTCGCACTGATTAGAGGAGCAGACATAATTTGGTGTTATAACGGCAAAAATTGCATGTCGCAACTTAAAAATGGTCATTTCGAAATTATGTAATACTATCATAAAATTTTTTTAACAATCAACTCCATACAGTAATAACATAAATATATTCTAACAATAAGTTTTTTAATAATTCTAATAATCTTACATTTAATTAATTTAATAATAAAAAATCATAAGCTACATATAGTACTATAATACGTATTCTCATTATCAGGGTCGTTTACGTTACTGTAGTATCGTTTCGTAACCAATCTTCCGACTTCTGTATATCAGTTAAATCGAGTTTTCGTTTTTCATTATTCTTTTCCCTAAATTTTTATAATAAATTATATCCGGGAGGTGAGAAAGATTCAATATAGATAAAATAAACAAAGAAGGACGTTCACAGGAAAGCCTGTGGCCACGATGTGCTTCCAGTTCTCAGATATTATACCCATACTTATCCCGTTGAGGCTTTTAGCTCTTGCATTATGCTCACCACATCGACTCCAATTGATGGCCCCAGAGAGGCGATAACGAGACGTGCAATGATCTAGGAGAAGATCGTGCGCTATACGTACCTCCCTGATTGCTCACCAATCAGTGACATGTGGAATGTTGCATAATGCTCACCACAATCTCTCGGTGGGACTCCTCTCGTTAGGATTTTTTTTTAGAAATACTAACCTTTAAATTTACACAACTTCACCTTTGTAACGTTCTGTTTTCTTTACGCGTTTACTATATTATTGTACTTCTGTAGTTTTCTTTTCACGCGTTTTTATCGAAAATATCATAGTCTTCTGACTTCAGCGTAACTATGTTTTTCACTTAGTTATTATTTCTAAATCTTTGTAATAAAGGTGAAAAAATAAAAGAGATAAACTATAAAAAGTTTTTTTTTCAAGATACAACAATAAACTAAACATGCCAACAACCTAATCGGCAGAACTCATGATCAACGCCTGTAATTAGTGCGTTGTGAGTTTTATTCTTGCGTCGTGAAAACATGATTGCGTATCTGGTATAGAAAAAAATTTAAGAAAAAAGAATAAAAAGAGTATTGGAGTAATAAAAACAATGTTTTTACGTAGGTAATAACCAAAAATGTAATGGTAAACAAAAAAAAAATTACTGTAATTAAAGTATATCGATATGTTTACTGGCACTAACAAATCAGCCTAAATTATACTCTAATCCCAACCCTAAGTTAGGCCGAGTTGTCAAATAAAAATCACTAGGTTACCTGCTCTCAAATTTTACACAAATCAGTTTAATTGGTTGAGCAAATTTTTGACAGTCTAAATGAAATGTTGTTGACTAGAAGCTGGAACATCACTGGACGTAAAAATCAATATTACCTATCGTTATTTACCGCTCTGCGTACATATAATTATTATTATGTGAGGATTTTTTATAGGTTTTTTAATAATTTCGGAAAATTAACTTCTGCGAATATTTTCTTTATTATCAAAGGTAGGTACAATTTTCAAGTTAACTACATAAAATTTTGTATCAAATTTTTTTTTGTTTTGTAGCTCTCGTTTCTCTCTTTTTAGTAACAACCTTGGTTTTTTAATTTTTAATGAACTTATTGATGTTACATTTTGGTTTACTTTGTCGAAGAATTGGCTACTTGTAAACAGAATAAATCGAAAAATACCCATTGTTACACTATTCTAAGCGAATTAAAATATCATTTACAACAAATTAAACTTGTAATTGTTATGTTAGTTTAAAAAAAAAAAAAAAACTGTACCGAAAGTTGCTATTACCCGCAGTAAATTCGGATCAATATCTAATTAGCAATTAGTATATAATTAGTTTGATTTTATTAGTTTGAACATATGATTAGCTAATTTATGTGAAGAATATTTACGTACTCGCATCGGATTTTTACCATTCCTAGTTGTCCTTTCTAAATCCGCGTGTCAGGTATCGTTTTAAAAAATGTTTTGTGTTAAAATTCTAATATATATCATCATTAATAAAGTACGCCACCGGCGTCCTAGGTTATCCTAGGACAAAATCGAAAAAAAAAATTCTCATCTGCTTTACCTGAATGACAAACCAACCGATAAATATCTCTTAGAAATTTAAAATTTGTACGTAGGGAAAAAATATTAAATCATCCAGATGATACCATGAAATATACCATTGTATCTTCAAACGTGTTTGTACCACAGGAGTATCTATCCCTCGAATCGTATCGGGAAGGTTATAAAAATCTGAAATTATAGTTTTTTAATATTTCGAGAAACAATAATTCTTTAATGGGTATGACCTCCGGCGAGGTCAGTAAAAATGGAAGTTTGTTGCATAATTGTTGAAAAAAGCGGTTTTGTAGAATTGGTGTTTTATAAAGTGTTTGGCTACGAAGTGCAAGATAGCGTATGATTAAAAAATCACTAACAGGTTCGTAAATTTCTTTAAAATCTCCTTTTCGTCTATTATTACACCGGCTTTTCTGTGAACTAAATCATGTGAAAATTATCCTTGATAATAAATCAAGTATAACTAAATTTAAATAAATGAATATAAAAATGCAACAATATAACAAAAAATTCATTCCAATCAAAAATACTCTAATTGATAATTTCTACAATCATGTAAATACCCACTATTTCGGACATTTGACTTTCGCACTGATTAGAGGAGCAGACATAATTTGGTGTTATAACGGCAATAACTATCGCAAAAATTGCATGTCACATCTTGTGTCGCAACTTAAAAATGGTCATTTCGAAATTATCTTAAACAGTCAACTCCATATAGTAATAACAGATAAATATATTCTGACAATAATTTTTTTAATAATTCTAATAATCTTACATTTAATTTAATAATAAAAAATCATAAGCTACACATAGTACTATAATACGTATTCTCATTATCAGGGTCGTTTACGTTACTGTAGTATCGTAACCAATCTTCCGACTTCGGTGTAGCAGTTAATCGAGTTTTCGTTTTTCATTATTCTTTTCCCTAAATTTTTATAATAAATTATATCCGGGAGGTGAGAAAGATACAGTATAGATAAAATAAACAAAGAAGGACGTTCACAGAAAAGCCTGTGGCCACGATGTGCTTCCAGTTCTCAGACATTATACCCATACTTATCCCGTTGAGGCTTTTAGCTCTTGCATTATGCTCACCACATCGACTCCAATTGATGGCCCCAGAGAGGCGATAACGAGACGTGCAATGATCTAGGAGAAGATCGTGCGCTATACGTACCTCCCTGATTGCTCACCAATCAGTGACATGTGGAATGTTGCATAATGCTCACCACAATCTCTCGGTGGGACTCCTCTCGTTAGGATTTTTTTTAGAAATACTAACCTTTAAATTTACACAACTTCACCTTTGTAACCTTCTGTTTTCTTTACGCGTTTATCATATTATTGTACGTCTGTGGTTTTCTTTTCACGCGTTTTTATCGAAATATCATAATAGTCTTCTGACTTCAACGTAACTATGTTTTCACTTAGTTATTATTCCCTAAATCTTTGTAATAAAGGTGAAAGAATAGAAGAAATAAACAAAAAAAAAAGATTTTTTTTCAAAACACAATAACCTAAACATGCCAACGACCTAATCGGCAGAACTCATGTTCAACGCCTGTAATTAGTGCGTTGTGAGTTTTATTCTTGAGTCGTGAAAACATGATTGCGTATCTAGTATAGAAAGAAATTTAAGAAAAAAGAATAAAAAAGAGTATTTGAGTAATAAAAACAATGTTTTTACGTTGGTAATAACAAAAAAAAATTACTGTAGTTAAAGTACTGTATATGTTTACTGGCACTAACAAATCAGCCTAAATTATACTCTAATCCTAACCCTAAGTTAGGCCGAATTGTCGAATAAAAATCACTGGGTTACCTGTTCTCAAATTTTGCACAAGTCAGTTTAATTGGTTGAGTAAATTTTTGAAGGTAATGTGGAATACACAGTCTAAAGCAATGTTGATGACTAGAAGCTGGAACACCACTGGACGTAAAAATCAATATTACCTATCGTTATTTACCGTTCTGCGTTAAGTAGGCGTACATATAATTATTATTATATGAGGATTTTTTAATAATTTCGGAAAATTAACTTCTGCGAATATTTCTTTATTATCAAAGGTACGATATGAATGACGAAGGTACAATTTTCAAGTTAACTACATAAACTTTTGTATCAAATTTTTTTTTGGTTTGTAGCTCTCGTTTCTCTCTTTTTAGTAATAACCTTGGTTTTTTAATTTTAAATAAACTTATTGATGTTACATTGTCGAAGAATTGGTTACTTGTAAACAGAATAAATCGAAAAAATATCATTGTTACACTATTCTAAGCAAATTAAAATATCATTTACAACAAATTAAACTTGTAATTATTATGTTAGTTCAAAAAAAAAACTGTACCGAAAGTTGCTATTACCCGCAGTAAATTCGGATCTTTATACGTAAAAAATATCTAATTAGCAATTATTATAGTAATTTATTAGTTTGATGATCAGGTTGAACGTATGATTAACTAATTTATGTGAAGTCCTTTCTAAATCTGCGTATCGTTTTAAAAAATATTGTTGTGTTAAAATTCTAATATTCTCATCTGCTTTACCTGAATGACAAACCAACCGGTAAATATCTCTTAGCAATTTAAAATTTGTAGGGAAAAAAATATTAAAACATCCAGATGATACCATGAAATATACCATTGTATCTTCAAACGTGTTTGTACCACAGGAGTATCTATCCCTCGAATCGTATCGGGAAGGTTATAAAAATCCGAAATAATAGTTTTCTAAAATTTCGAGAAACAATAATTCTTTAGTGGGTATGAACTCCGGCGAGGTCAGTGAAAATGGAAGTTTGTTGCATAATTGTCGAAAAAAGCGGTTTTGTAGAATTGGTGTTTTATAAAGTGTTTGGCTACGAAGTGCAAGATAGCGTATGATTAATAAATCACTAACAGGTTCGTAAATTTCTTTAAAATCTCCTTTTCATCTATTATTACACCGGCTTTTCTGTGATGAAGTCATAACGAACTAAATAATGGCAAAATTATCCTTGATAATAAATCAAGTATAAATAAATTTAATTAATGAATATTAAAATGCAAAAATATAACAAAAATTCATCCCAATCAAAAATACTCTAATTGATAATTTCTACACGATCATGTAAATACTCATTATTTCAGACATTTGACTTTCGCACTGATTAGAGGAGCAGACATTATAACGGCAATAACGTTATATTCTTATCGCAAAAATTGCATGTCGCAACTTAAAAATGGTCATTTCGAAATTATAGCAATACTATCGTAAAATTTTTTTGAACAGTAAACTCCATACAGTAATAACAGATAAATATATTCTAACAATAAGTTTTTTAATAATTCTAATAATCTTACATTTAATTAAATAATAAAAAATCATAAGCTACATATAGTACTATAATACGTATTCTCATCATCAGGGTCGTTTACGTTACTGTAGTATCGTTTCGTAACCAATCTTCCGACTTCGGTGTAGCAGTTAATCGAGTTTTCGTTTTTCATTATTCTTTTCCCTAAATTTTTATAATAAATTATATCCGGGAGGTGAGAAAGATACAGTATAGATAAAATAAACAAAGAAGGACGTTCACAGAAAAGCCTGTGGCCACGATGTGCTTCCAGTTCTCAGACATTATACCCATACTTATCCCGTTGAGGCTTTTAGCTCTTGCATTATGCTCACCACATCGACTCCAATTGATGGCCCCAGAGAGGCGATAACGAGACGTGCAATGATCTAGGAGAAGATCGTGCGCTATACGTACCTCCCTGATTGCTCACCAATCAGTGACATGTGGAATGTTGCATAATGCTCACCACAATCTCTCGGTGGGACTCCTCTCGTTAGGATTTTTTTTAGAAATACTAACCTTTAAATTCACACAACTTCACCTTTGTAACCTTCTGTTTTCTTTACGCGTTTACTATATTATTGTACTTCTGTAGTTTTCTTTTCACGCGTTTTTATCGAAATATCATGATAGTATTCTGACTTCAGCGTAACTATGTTTTTCACTTAGTAATTATTCCCTAAATCTTTGTAATAAAGGTGAAAGAATAGAAGAAATAAACAAAAAAAAAGATTTTTTTTCAAAACACAATAACCTAAACATGCCAACAACCTAATCGGCAGAACTCATGTTCAACGCCTGTAATTAGTGCGTTGTGGGTTTTATTCTTGCGTCGTAAAAACATGATTGCGTATCTAGTATAGAAAGAAATTTAAGAAAAAAGAATAAAAAAGAGTATTGGAGTAGTTTTTTGCGTTGGTAATAACCAAAAATGTAATGGTAAACAAGAAAAAACGTACTGTAGTTTAAAGTAACTGTATATGTTTACTGGCAATAACAAATCAGCCTAAATTATACTCTAATCCTAACCCTAAGTTAGGCCGAGTTATCACCTGTTCTTGAAACTATGATACTCAAATTTTTCACGTCAGTTTAATTGGTTGAGTAAATTTTTGAAGATAATATGGAATAATATGGAATACTATAACACAGTCTAAAGTAATGTTGTTGACTGGAAGCTGGAACACCACTGGACGTAAAAATCAATATTATTCAAAAATACCTATCGTACCAATGTCACTATGTTAATAGTACCATGCCCGGCACCTTGTTAATCGGTGGAATTTAAAATGAGCAAATAATTCCCTTCGATGGAGTTAAAATCGTAGCGGCGACAAGGGATGGACAAGTCCGGTCCGATCCGTCCTAGTACCGGATTGGTTTCAGGACCGGGGTTAAAGACTGATTCTTATTCGGTCTTTCAAGGACCTGATCCATCCCTTTTTGAATCAGAGTTGATGATATCAATGTCACTGGACCTTCTATCCAGTGGAAAAAACCTGACTGGAAGGGTTCAATAACAATTAATCACTGGAATTGTTATGTTTTACAATCAGACTGCATTTCCGACATATTGAACTTTGATTTATTTGTTAGAGCAATCTCAAAATTCCAGGTCAGAATCCATCCATCGGAGTCATGGTCAGCTGGCAAGCATTATTGGCTAAGGTCATTTCACTCTTTTCATTTCGTAATTCATTCCGTATAGTAAAATTATCACGTGATGTTGTCATTTTTTAAAGGGTATTAGAGAGATTTGACCCGAAAATCTTTACCCGGGTAATTCAATTTTGGCATTAGTTGATCCCAGAATTTATGAAAACGGCTGTACGATAATAAAAATTAAATTTTATAATTTATCGTTATGTAGCGGTAGTGGTTATTACTAAATTTGATAATTACATCGGGTGTTACTTAAAGTTACTATAATAAGTGATTCAAATCAGCCAATTAAGCGAAAGCCATGACAAAACACTGACAAAAACTATACAATCGATTGATTAAAATAAATTTCTTTAATACTGTAATACCATATTAGATTACTACTATCAATGATCTGGATTCTTGTAGAAATGTGAAATGTGAAAACGCATACATTTATCCAGAGATTGCTAGAGATTGCTACGTAGTTAAAATTTTATAACTTTAATTAAATGTATGCGATATCGATATTACACAAATGCCAGATTTTCTTAATGCAGTCTCGCCATTTTTTTTTTTTTTTAAAAAAAAAAAAAAAAAAAAAAAAAAAAAAAGAAGAAAAAGAAAAATAGTAAATAACTAAAAGCTTGTTCGTTTGTATGTTAATCTTTTGAGTCTATACAAGGTTTAAACATTGTGATTGACCTACAACTTAACTTGATTATTACTATATATCGATATGATAATTTTATTTTATATTACCCCGCAGTATTGGGGTCGGAGCTTATTAGCCAATCTGATGCTGATCTACTGATCTGTAAGTAGGGTCTGCGTCGAAAATTTTTTTTCAAATAAAGCGGCACAAGTAAGTTTTGTACTATCTTTCTTTTGAAAAACTTTTTTTTTTTCATCTTAAATATGAGCAAGTAAGTATTTTATTTAATTATATATATTGAATATTAAAACTTCTTACAATGTCGACTATGAAAAGATGTTTCATTGAGACAGAATTGGAAGTATACATCTTTTACGATTCATACTTGGCTGGATCTCCCTTTTACTTACCTCGTTCATGAAAGTTTGCCGCACGGTTCCAATACAACACTACTTCGAAAAATGTTTTGGTTTGAGTTAATTTTAGATTTAGACCCTGTTAGGCCGACGATCTGGATGATCAAAAATTAGTAATTGAACTGTGCCAAACAATACAAGCTATTTATTTTTACTTTAGAGTCAGTTTGAATCACAATATAGTTTCGATAATATTTAAGAACTTTTTGATAACGACATTTCCAAGTGATTAACTTCATTGATCTATATGATCTAAAATTATTTTCTTGTCATTGTGAAATAGACAAGAAGACACTGAATTTAATGATCTACCCGAGGGGGAAATTGAAGTAAGGTTCAAATTTGAATTTATGTACTGATATTTACTTGTATTTACTAAATACTATTTACATTTAACATAGTCCAATTGGGAGGAAATTGTTGATAATTTCGACAATATGTGTCTCAAATCTGAACTTCTCCGTGGGATTTACGCTTATGGGTAATTTACAAATCGACTTAGACATCAACGAATCGCTATTTATGTTGCGATCTCATTTATATACTTCTAACTCTGTTTAATTTTGTTCATATGTATTTTATCTTAAATTTATATAGTTTTGAAAAACCATCTACGATTCAACAACGTGCCATTCTTCCTGTAATTAAAGGGCATGACGTTATCGCCCAGGCGCAGTCAGGAACGGGAAAGACAGCTACATTCTCCATTTCAATTCTTCAAAAACTTGACATGTCCATTAATCAATGTCAGGCTCTAGTCCTTGCACCAACCCGTGAATTGGCCCAACAAATCCAGAAAGTAGTTATTGCTCTCGGTGACTTTATGAACGTTGAATGCAATGCTTCAATTGGTGGTACTAACGTCCGTGAAGGCATCAAAAAGCTTGAAGCTGGTGCTCAAGTAGTTGTTGGTACCCCTGGTCGTGTATTTGACATGATCAATCGTCGTGCTTTGAAAACCGATCATATAAAAATGTTTGTTCTTGACGAAGCAGATGAAATGTTGTCCCGTGGTTTTAAAGAACAAATATACGACGTCTTCCAACTTCTCCCACCTAGTACCCAAGTGGTTCTTTTATCCGCCACTATGCCGTCTGACGTTTTGGAAGTTACTACCAAGTTCATGCGTGATCCTGTCAGAATTTTGGTTAAGCGCGATGAGTTGACTTTGGAAGGAATTAAGGCGAGTAATTTACCTTCTCTTTTTATTATTGTTATTATTTACAAGTTCAAGCCTGTTCCTATATCGTATATTAACATTAATATAATATTCCTATAAATAGCAATTTTACATTGCCGTTGAAAAAGAAGAATGGAAACTTGATACTCTATGTGACCTTTACGAAACTGTCACCATCACCCAAGCAGTTATCTTCTGTAATACGCGAAGAAAGGTTGATTGGCTAACAGATAAATTGCATGCACGAGAATTCACTGTGTCTGCTATGCATGGTGATATGGACCAGTCTCAACGTGATGTCATTATGAAGGAGTTCCGTTCAGGTTCTTCTCGTGTACTTATTACTACAGATCTTTTGGCTCGTGGTATTGATGTCCAACAAGTATCACTGGTAAGTCATGAAATAACCTTACGCAGAAACTAAAAGTTTTAAATGATTAAATGCCTTTTTATATTACAGGTCATTAATTATGATCTTCCTACTAATCGTGAAAACTATATCCATCGTATTGGAAGAGGAGGTCGGTTTGGTAGAAAAGGTGTTGCCATTAACTTTGTTACGAGTGATGACGTTCGAATGCTTCGGGACATAGGTATATAATAGTTCAAACCTGTTTTGCTTTATATATGGAGAAAAAAACCTCCTGAATTTGCATTTAGAGGTCTCCGTCAGTGTGCAAAATCCAATTTTTCTCAATATTCTTTGAGAATATAAAACTTTTAGGTCTCGTTTATGTGAGAACGTAAAATTTCAATTATATAAATATTCTTATGAACATTTTGCACGCTGGTCTCTACATGTACGTATACAATATTAGGCAGATGATGAAAAATGACAGGAAATTTCTTTCATCGGAGTTAATGCCACTCCATGTGCTGCTACGCAGCACATGAGTGACGTTAACTCCGATGAAAGTAATTTCTGTTATGTGTCGTATGCCCAATATTGGTGTTACCCAATATCTTATGTGATTATGTGAAGTTTTTTCCATGAAATTTTGCTCAAATGATGACGTAATTTCGTGGCAAAAATATAATTTCATATCATATAAAATGTCGGATAAGTTAATATATTTATTATACAATATTTAACACAATTTCCTTTACAGAACAATTTTATAACACACAAATTGATGAAATGCCTATGAATGTAGCAGATCTGATTTAAAAAAAAAAGGGGGAAACAAAAAAGGAAAAAAATTTATATACGTACTTGAAGGTACATGGTTCATATGACTAATATGATTAGCTTAAAATACTATATTTATTATAATAAATTTAAACAAAAAAAAAGCAAACATTTGCATAATAAAAAAAAATTTTAAAATTTTATTATTTATATTTGTCTCGTTTGTCTTGGTGTTGTCGTGGTACTCTTGTATATCGTAAACCTGACTATGATATTTAATATAAGAGTATTGCTAATCTTAACGGAGGGTGAATTTCACCCCTCCTCAGATTAACCAATCAAATCACGGGATCAGGGTGATCTGCAAAATTTCTTTGTACGACAAAACAAAGTTTTTTTTTTAAAAAAAAATTAAAGAAACGATAATAACTCAAAATTTTGTTTATGAAATCATCTTTTACGTACTAATAAAAAAATTTTCTTGCTAAATTTTGTATATATATAATACTTTGCTAAAATATTAACCTAACTCTAATTAATATATTAAAAATTTTGTAAACATAAGAAGTGAAATTTACTTTTTGTTTTTGTTTTGTTTTTTTTTTTTTTTTTTTTGATAATCTTATCTATTATTTTATTAAGGAAAAGCTTACATATACTACAAAGTAAATTACTATCTAAAATATAATTAAATACCTTTCTTTAATTATTTTGAACTTATTCAGCTACCTTAAAATGTCTTATATTATTTGTAGTATATTGAGAAGGCTATATTACTTGTAATATTTTGGTGCTTTCTAGTGGAAAGGAAATGAAAAGGTTTATATCTAGTATACTATTCAACATGAACAGATGATAATAAAACCATGAATAAACTATCAAAATTATAGTATATCCTATGCTTAAAAAAAAATTCAAAGAGAAGTTTCTTTAGAACAATTTACAATTGTTTATCGTATTTTGCTAATATCTCTACAAATATTAAATGTAGAAAGATAAAAACACATACTATTCTACTTACAAGAATCTACTCTACAACTTTTATTATAGTATATCTTAGTATAAAAATACTTTTCTGGCTTACAAATTAGCTTCAAAGATTCTATTAATATTTTCAAAAATGATTTTCTTAGAGAAGATCAAAAAAGAGAAGAAATATATTGTTCTAGTGATTTACAATAATCATAATATCTTGGCTTTCTGCAAATAAATTTTAAAGTTTCAATATTTGTTAGAATAATAAGGACTTAGTCTACAACTTTACTTAAGATATCAAGTTAAGGTTATATAATACGAATATCCTTTTAGAACAGCTTTTATAAAATTAATCTGCAAAGTATCTTTTTCTTTACTATGCCACATAGGTGAAAATTTTTAGAAATTTTTTCTACTTTCTATGTAGTAGATAACCTTCACAAAACTCATTACTTTTAGGTTACTATATACCTATAATAACTAAAGAAAATGAGTTTTAGAAACTTAGATACAACTAAACTCTTAGATATCTCATAGAGTTTAAACAACTTTACTTTGAATATATAATTTGCACATATATATATTCTTGTAGATTATTATCTTGAATGATGCTTATACCTAACTCTATTGTAGATATAGACTTAAAACATTATAAACATTACTTTGAACATTATATTTTACTTTAATTAATTCAAAACAGTTTGTTACTTCTGTATAAAAGTGACTGAAGGTTAGTTAGCTTTATTCTATTTCAAAAGCTTCAAAGATTATTAAAGATTTATCAAGAATAGTTTGCTACTTCTGAGCAAAAGTGAGATAATAGTGAGAATGTCTCTACCTTTTGCAAAAGACCATTATATAAAAAGACTTACAGTTTGTTAATTCTGAGCAAGATATGACTAGTAATTTTTATATTGTTACTTCTCAAAAATATAGTAAAATTAGAATTTAATTTATCAAACTAAGAAGATTTAATCAAGTACCTTTAAACATTAATACTTGGAAAGTTCTACTACGTACACATTAATGAAAAATTTTAGATTTAATTTCTTTTAGAAATAGATTCTTTATGATACCTAGATGAAACATACCTAGATAAAAAAGATTCTCAGATATAATATTTCTAAATATTAATGACAATGATAATAAATAGTTTGTAGCTTATTGCAACTTCATAGGATAAATAATACTCTGATAGTAAAGAGTACTCTATGAGTTAAATTAGGTAAGCATAAGGACTTAATTATAGCTTGAAGCTTACTGCAACTCTACAGGAAAAATAATACTCTGCTAGTGAAGTATACTCTATGAGCTAAATTAGATAGGCATAAAGATACAACTATAGCTCATAGCTTACTGTAACCCTACAGAAGGATAAATACTCTGCTGGTAAAGGTTTCCCAAGAGCCAAATGTGTAGGTATAAAGATCTAACAAAATTTTGAAAATAGAAATTATAAATTAATATTTTTAATTACTTGGAAAATACTACAACATCTACAACAAACTTTTATATCTCTAAAAAATTTGATCTCTCTACTATAATCTCTCTTATTTCAAAAACAATATTCTTCTTTCTTCTCTTATACTCTTAAATTTAATAACAAAAACTCTCTACTCAATATCTCTACTTCTTTTTTCTTAATAACTTTACTCTCTGCTCAACATCTCTACTTCTTTTTTCTTAATAACTTTACTCTCTTCTTGTCTTCTTTTACTTCTTTTACTCAAATCCTTCTTCATTATTAATTTTTATCACACTTTACTTATTTTTATTTTTATTATTTTTATTTCTTTTTAATTATTTTAATATTAGTTTTATTTTAAGGTCTGGTGATCTTAGTGTAGTGGTTAGGTTGCCAGACCACCATGCAAGAGGTCGGGAGTTCAAATCCCACTGTCGACGAATTTGAATAATTACCCAGACCTTTGTATCCAACTTACAGTAAACTCTGTCCATTTCTGGAATTGTAACCCTGTAAATCACGTTGCACCAATATTATCTGGATATTAGAAGTGTGACAGGGCATTTGGCGAGATGTAACGTTATATGAATAAATCTTGATAGGATCTACGGGCAGGGGACCTGCATAGTAGAAATCCTGAGTAGGTGAAGTAGTACAGCTTTTGACAGTCACACCAGCTAACGCTTGATCTAGAAAGGAAACTATGATCAAAAAATGCAGATCGAGTCGGGTGCGTATAAATCCATTTCACAGGGAGAATCGGTAACACTAACCTAGCTTGGCGGCTAACTGGATTGGGAGAATCTGCCTTGTGAAACATCCAAGAAAATAGAATACAGAAAACTGGTAGAGAGCTACAGTAGGAACTAGAATTGTATGAACATCTACAAGAGTCTAATCTAGGTGATCCCGTAAAATGGGTACAGGCCACTCTAGTGGGTTTGCTTCGAGGTTAACTGGCTCTGTAATACTAGCAATGCATCTGGTATAGTGTATCCCGAAAGGACCTAAGCTGACTTGGGTAAATGGATCCGTAACGAGCTAGCTAGCTTAAGTGGTTAGGTGTTGCGGTGACATTAGGTTTGGATCTGTATGGGTTAATAAACAGAGTGTTTAAATAGGTAACTCACAGGCGGGTTACAGATATGGCAGCATAGTATAGAACCAATCGGGTAATCTAATCGCCTGTGCAGCAGACTACATAAATTAGACAATAACTAAAGTTGTATGTGTGGCTTGTTGTACACTCTTTATGTAATTACAAACAGTAGAGATTATCAATGTATAATTCCATATGCAAATACTAATAAAATCCCGTCAGCAATGTAAGCCGCCTTAAACGTAAAAAAAAAAAAAAAAATATTAGTTTTATTTTTATTTTTCTTGGTTAACAAAATATGTAGTAGCTATAACTGTAAATAACAAGTGTTGTATCTTGTTAGCATATTTGTTAATCTGAATTTTGAAAACTATATGTGATTATTAATAGTATAAAATTATAAGTAGTAAAAGCTTCTTGCAAGCTCTAGTCTATTCGAATATGATAGATGCTATCTTGTTTTCTATTCATATTGCTTTATACATAAAACAGAAAAGTCTTAGAATTCAAAGTTTTTACTACATAATATTATAAAATGAATTTTAGTTATTTAATTTATTTAGTTAATTTCTTGAATGTATTTATCAATTTCTTGATAAACTAAATAGTTAAAGTTAGTTTTAAATTAGACTATTAGATTCAGCTCGATGAGATCTTTTGAATGAGCTATAAATTATAAGAAACAGATATATAGTTATTGAGTTATCTTAGAAACAATATTCGAATAAATTACTTTTCTTACTTTTCTTACTTTTCTTACTTTTCTTACTTTTCTAAAAGATATATAAACCCTCCCTTTTCTCTTTGCCTCAACTTAGGTTTAACCTCTGCAATCTCCTTAATATTAGAATTCTCTTTGCACAGAAACTAATAGATAGTCTTGTATTATCGATATTGTATTCTAGATAAAGTATAATCTTTGCTCTTTCATTAATATTGTAACAAACTGCTATAGTGAAGTAATATTCTACTTGGACACTGTTGAGAGCTCTTCTTCTGTATCTTATGTTACTTGTATTAAATTAGGAAGGCTAACACTTGTAATAT